GGCTTAACTGTCATACAGTTCACTGATAAAGCACACACCTGCCAACCAAAATATTCAAGAAAAGATTGTTTCATTTTGAATGATCTCCTTTAAAGAAATTAACTGTTGGGTTACATAGGAATTATGCAGTTATGCAGTGAGTAAAGGAGCATGATGATAATTGATGATGCAATAATTAGATACAAGCTAGAAAAATATGTAGAAATTAAGTTTATGTGGATGAATTTGTATAATATTGTAGTTAACCTTAGTTTGCAGAGAGAACTCAAGATCAAATGCTTGGTAGTTTTTCTCTACAAATCAATAACATTCATCCCAAAACTATAAAAGATATTCTCTAATGTTCTGGAACGTTCTACGAATGAAAAGTACAAAGTACAAAGTACAAAGTTAAGTGCGAACGGACTAAAAGCTTTTCAGTTCAAGGAAAGGTGTGCTAAAAATCTGTAAAAACGTCTCCTTTTGTACGCTTACCGAGCGAAAAAGACAACATTGCAGGTATAATGAAGCGGAATTTCACAAAACATGTTTATTCCATTCAGTCCCGGCAACCTGACATCGTGCGAACTTACTTTGGGGAAAAATTCTAAAAGACCACAATTATAGACAGGTATATTCCGTTACGCGTTTCAACGTAACATATTTACTACCTATATATTTATAACAAGGCGAGAAACTTATCGTCCATGAAATATATACCAGTAGTACGCTATGAAGTAAACAGGGATAATTCCATGAGCAACAAAATTTAGAGAGTGTCTATTCTGCTTACGTCTGCAGAAGTTTGAACTTACCAAAATTGATGGCAAGACTAAGACGAGTAGGACGTAATCGACCCTCATTTTAGCAGATGTGAAAAGCACAACAACAAGTATTAAAGCTTATTGCTCAACTATTCGATTCTTCAATACACTATATCAAGTGCACTTTATCAAGTCTCACTTATCTCTTGTGTGGAGCAAAATAGCGTTCCGCATTGAAACACTCACGAACAGCGAACAGGGGATTCCCCGTTTATATGGGTAGGCTTACCAATAAATGAATAAATTACATAAAAAGGTGAAGAGCTCCTCCATCTTTTCTGTTCTTCCATCGAAAAACCTAGCCTGGGTGTCAGGGCTTTTTCTCGCACTTCTGAAAAACAGCCGTGGTGTAATGCACAACCAAATACGACTAACTGTGAAAATGTGTTTGAGTGGGCCGCCATCTTGGACAGCCTCATTCCCAGGGTCCTCTCCAGCTCTCTTGCGCTCTAGTCACATGACGTCGTGGCAGCCACATAGGTGTCTTGGGACCGGGAGGTGTTGGGAATATTTTTGTATGGCTGCTGGCCACGTGCGTAAGCATAGCCAGTGGTCCTGCGAAGTCCCTGCGACTAGTCCCTGCAACAAGTTGAGGGGATAAACCACATCGTGTGAACTAGCCATTTTTGTCAAAAAAAATCCCTCAAAACTCTTCGTGTGAGCAATCACAGATCCGCATGATTAATCCAGTTCTGGCCCTCTCTCTGTCTGTCTCTCTGAATTATTTTAATGCTACATTTTTAATTTAAACTTAATAATTTTGGTTTAGCATTGGGAAAGCCACAGAGTGAAAGAATGCCACCTTTTGCCCCAAGTTTTTACCATACTCCTGTGCAATTAATCCCCGCGTTTGAACGCCACAATGGACGAGTCCCTACAACCAGTACCCTCGTGTTAATTCTTCAGGGGACTTGTAGCAGCTGGCACTAGTCCCGGGGACTTGTCCTCTCGCGTGTGCCGGCCTTTATTCCACGGCCAAACGTGGCTAATATCAACAATAACAGCAGCACAGAAAGGAGAGAAAATTAAACTGAGCTGCCGAAGTACTGCAGACAGTCTAATAAACAAAAGGAGAAAAGGAAGTCGATATAGAGAAAAATGCGGGTCTTTGTGACCTCCTGGACTTCTTTTTGCCCCTCACGCAGTGGGAGGGTGGGGAATAGCCGACATTAGGTGTAACAGCCTACATGGATTATTCCACAAATTTAATTGAGCGGCGTTTCGAACTTTCCTAGATTTCAGAAAAATGTGAACTCGCTGGAACTTTTAAAGTTTATCTCTGAAGATAGTTCACCGAGAGGGTCGTTTTGACGCAAGAAAAGAAACGACCTTGGCTCTTAAGGTTCATCAATTATACAGAGACGTCAAAATAACGCAACACAAGCATAGGGTAACTGAAGCCACTTAAATATTTTCTATACCTAGCATTTAGAGCAATTTTCGAAACACTCTCATACATTGTCTTATAAACGGCTAAACTTGTAACTATATCAGAATTAGCGAGATCCATCTACGGATGCAGGCAGGCAACATGCAGAACACCCGATGACGACTTCCTCTCTTGGAATCTCGGAGCTGTAAGTATGGCGGTTTGTGGAGAAAGCCAAGCGGAATCTGTTGGTTTTGAAGCGTGATGTCTTTTACGGGACGTGTTATTCACTAATAGAATTTTTCTGAAGATCGTTGTTATGCCAAGAAATTATCGTGTTGTGATAATCAGAGTGGATCTGGCCCTGAAGAAAGAAGCAAGAATGGTATTGTCAAGATGGAGCCCGGTGAGCGACAGGATTATGAGTGCCAGATTGAATTCTCGATATGCGAAGCTCACAATAATAATGCTTTACGCACCAACCAATGACGCAGAAAGATAGGGTTAAGGATGAGTTTTACGAGCAGCTGCAAAGGGAAGTCGAAAGAGCACCGAGGCATGACGTGCTGATTATTATGGGGTACACGAACGCCAAAGTGGCCAAGACAACCTAGGCTGGGAGAGAGTGATGGGAAGGCAAGGAATAGGAAGGATGAACAAGAATGGAGAGAGGCTTGTAGAATTTTGTAAAGTGAATAAATGGCCTTGTTATCGGTGGAACATTGTTTAAACACAGACACATCCACGAGCTTACATGGACCTCACCTAATGGCTGCGACCGTAACCAGATTGACCACATCATAATCAGTGGAAGATACAGGAGGTCTCTTCTCGACGCCAGCTAGAGTAATGAGAGGTGCGCGCAGACGCCAACAATGACCATCACCGTGTATTGGCAAGGGTGAAGCTGAAATTGTGCAGGGAGAGAAGGGGAGGAAGGAAACTGTACGATACAGCGAAGCTCAGAGATCAAAGTGTCAGTAAGAAACAGTTACATATTGAGATCCGAAACAGATTTGAAGCATTGGCCAACAACGAGGATGACAGCATCGAACAAGATTGGCTACAATTGAAGAAGGTATACTGTGAGAGTGCAGATGCTGTTCTCGAAAAAAAGAGAGAGGATTAAGTCAAACTAGATTAGTGCCCAAACGTACGGGAGAATGGATGAGAGAAGGCAGATTAAAGAGCACCTTGGGCAATTCGAGCCAGATCTGAACGACTGAAAGAGCTGAAGAGAGAGAAGTACAGAAGAAAGGAAAAGGAGGTGAAAGCGAGTGCAAGAGCAGACAAGAGAAGAATGTTAGACAGCATTACAGAGGAGGCGGAAGTAGCAATCGACAGTAACATCGGTGACCTCTACCGCCTGGTGAAGCAGATTGTTCAAAGCAGATAGTTCAGGCAAAGACAAACACGATGAGAGCCATCAGGAACAAGCGTGGGAAGCTGCTAATGAATGGAGAAGAAATCCTTGAAAGATGGAAGGAGCACTTTGAAGAAGTGCTCGATGTAGATTCTGCGGGAACTGAGTTACCGGACGGCACTGGTGCTGCTGCCGCACAGCAGCTACCAGATATAACAACATCAGAAATCTCAGTCAGAGGCCCAGATTAGAGGTGCCATTATAAGACTAAAGAATGTAAAAAGCCCAGGAATGGATTCCATCAGCACTGAAATGCTCAAGTGTACGCACGACGCCGCAATCAAGAGGCTTCAAGTGCTTTTTAATAAGATTATGGCTGAACAAAAAGTTTCATGAGACTGGACAAGATCGCTCATCGTGAAACTCCCTAAGAAGGGGAATCTGACCATATGTGGTAACCACCGTGGTATTTCCCTCCTATCAGTGCCATCGAAGATCTTCTGTATAATTCTGATCGACAGAACCAAGAAGGGTGTAGATGAGAGGCTGTGCCAGGAGCAGGCTGGCTTCAAACAAGGAGGAGGTACTGTGGAACAGACATTCACACTCAGAAACATCCTTGAGCAATGTATGGAATGG